GGCGATTTCACCGATGACAAAGAGATTGATTCTTCGTCTCCGATCGAAATGAGTTTCATGGTTCTGGGTTTAGGGGTACAAAGAGATCGATCTCTCTTAGGGGTTAAACAAAAACTCTCGATTATTTTTTGTTTTTGGTTGAATCGATTACGATTCTTTTAGGGTTTTCGGTTCTGGGGCAAACAAAAACTCTAGATTTTTTGGGTTTTGGATCTTTCCCTTCACATCGCTGATCCGTTTGGTAGATTGAAGCTTCAAAACCCCAATTCCTTCACCATAACCATCGATATCACCTCAACTTCATGTATTGTTGGGCCTGGACCTGCAGCTCGATAGATTCTGCGGCCCGACAGTGTGCGGTCCGTGAACAGTGGAAGCCTAACTCAAACAGTAACCGCGGCCTGGTTAAACCTGGATCAGTTTTGGTAACTACAGTTAATAAAACCTAGAATGTACCCTCAACCTTGTACTATAAATAGAGGTACAATGTGATGTGACAGATCATCATCCATTCCTTCAAAAAGAATACAAGGAACTAGAACTTTTCCGTTCAGGACTCTAACTCCGAAGAAGAGCTCACCGGGAGGTCACCACCGACCGGAAAACATAGAAAACGTTTATATATCTGTACTAGCTCGCAGCGACTTAGTAGCCTGGGATCTGTCCGGTCTACTACGCTAGTTCATAGTAATCAGATAGACCGGCATCTGTCCGGACTATCTGTAGTGGTCTACTTTGTAACACTTTCCCAAACTCATCTTCTAATATACGAAACTCTCCGACCTCCTATCTACTACAAATTCATTGTTCAATCTTTTGATTAACGCAAGGAAACATGAGTCCGGATGCATCAACCAGTCAGTGAAGCAATCATTCTAGAGACCGCCGAAACAATTCAAGCGGCCCCTGTCGCCACGACCATGATAGATACGATCAGCCCTCCAGTGACTGTTAACGAGGAAACAAGGGTAGCAGCGTCCGACCCTTCCCATAGCGAACCCGCGCCCGTCACTGACGAACAAGTCAACTTCGCGGGAGTGCTCAGTATGCTCATGAGGCATTTCGATCAACAGGACGACTAGTTCAGAAGAACGAGCACTCGCCTCGACGCCCTCTCAAACGCACAGACCGCAATCCAAGAACAGCTGGACTCCACTCGGTCAATCGAGTCGCAGCAGATCCGAACGAACTCATCTGAAACATAAAGACACGGTCGTCCTTCGCGCAAACATCAGATTATCAACCTAAACACTCCCACCAGAACTCCGATCAGCGCACAGGTCGCTCGACCACCACCTCCAAGAGAGCATGATTCGTTCCAGGGGCTAGAAATCGAGGTATTGAAAGCTCG